GCCCGTGTTGCTTCTGTTTGAACATCAGCAGCGGCATTATTGGTGGTGGCGCAGGCCTTTTAGGCGGGGAAAAAAAAGAAAAAAAAGAACACAACGATATTCACCGCCCGCGCCCCCAGCAGGCACCCCACAAACAACAGCGACAATCCAAAACGAAAGCCGCAACGACAAACGCACGGGCCGCACGATCACACACTCACCGCCGCCTGAAGAAACGCCCGCACGCACGGAGAGTCCGCAGTGTGGGACGCCTCCCACAGAAATCAAAAATAATATAAAAAACAAATTCATAAGCACGTCGCTTACCGTCTCCCCCGCCCAGCCCCTTCAAACCCCGCCAGCAACAACACGCAGTGCGCATGCCGGCGAGACCTCACATCACGGCCCCCACAAACTCCCCAACGCCGCCACTTCCCTCAGCGCACCGCAGCAGGAGTGGGGCGTAATTTATTTTAAAAAAAAAACAATAAAATAAACGTTGAAAACTAAAATAACGACAATAAAAAGCGGCAGACGTCCGTCACCATCCGCTCCAAGTGATACTCGGCACCAAAAGAAAGAAAAAAAAACACCACAATACACACGCAGCGGATGCCTTTCACTCTGCAGGCTCTCCGTGCATTCCCCAGGCACACATTGCCGTCACATCTCTCTCATCACGGCCGTTCATGATGATTCGGCGGGCGTCCATGTCCTCCTCCCTGCCCCTGCAGCGAGTTTCGTTTGGAGACGACACGGCGAGCATGCCCCACCCGGTGGGAGGCATCATGGCGGGCGACGCCTTCCTCCACCCCATCACATCGCAGATAATATACCCCCTCATCTGCACGGAGACCTCCAAAGAACTCTCCATCGCCCGAGTCGAACAGCCAAAGAAGAACACCGTCTTGGTGGTATTGCCAAACAGAAACGCTCGCTCCCCAATCAAGCACGCCACCGCGTGGAGCTGCTCGGCGTCGTAGTGCAGCAGCCGGTAAAGAAGGCACGAGCAAGCAGCCACCGACCTCCCGATCCCAGGCGTCCCGATCAAGACACGCCGCACAGACGCCGAGTTCGCCCCGCCGTGCGTGCTAAACAGCCCGACCAGATCGCCCTCGACGATCCGCCGCACCCGCTCCACCTCAGCGTACACACAGCAGTCAGAACCACGTGCTTGCCGCAGTGTGTACGGCCACTTCTCGGAGGTGAGCACCACCAGACTGGGACGCGGTGGGCGGTACTGCGCTGCACCGTTATCCGTGAGAACAGTTGCACCCTCCACCTTTTAATCTCACGGCTGTGGCGGCCTGCCTTCCCTCAGCTCCATTCGCATCCCTCCTCGCCCGTCGGACACTTCCATGACATGACCCCACCCCTCGCATGGCAGACATCCCCGTAGTGCCCCTCCAACTTCTCCAACGTGGAGCTCTCACCACAGGCACCTCCGCTGCGGCGAGGACCGCACGCAGCTCCCTCCGTAAAGGAGGGGCGGCGTCAGCGGTGTCTCCTTGCGCCACCGCAGCGGCCTCCAATCGCACCCTCGCCCAACCACCTCCCCACTGCACATCAGATGCGGGACTCTCCTCACTACCGTGCCGTCCCCCTCGCGTCTCCCAGGCATTATCTTTCCTTCGTGTGTGTAGTTGTTGGCTTGCGCTGCAGCTGAGCACTAACCACCGGCCAACAGGAGAATGAGAGGAAGAGAGAAACAAAATACACACAGACAAGACGCCAGGCAACCGCAGAAAAAGAGAGAGCCACACAGACGCAGGAGAACCCCCACAACGGCAGGTGAGTGTCCCACTCACCGGCACTCCGCTGAAGACAGAGCAGCCACACTGCTTGAGGGCGGTGGCACTCTGCTCACTGCTCCCTTGCCAACGCAACCCATCAACCTCCACCCACCACATCGTGCGGCATAGGCGGGAAACATCACGATGCCTGCGGAGGGTCACCGCCAAACAAAGACGCAGCCCCACCACGTGTCCATGACGACGTTTCGTCCTCATCGCAGAAAAAAGGGTGTGTGCGTGTGTGTGACGGCGTGTGGGGCAGCAAAGTGACAGCAGCGGCAGCCGGCACTCGCCAAAACACACCTCCACCCCTCATCCCGCCAAAAGAACGGGAAAAAGAAACGAGGGGTGTGTCAGCTTCCAGCTTCAGTGTCGCGCCGCCCAAGATTCTCCCAGTGCTGGCCGCCTCGCCCTCTCTGGGGGGTGGCCCACGGCGCATTCATCGACGGGCCACACAGCGGTCGCCAAAGAAGGATGCGAAAATAAAACACGCGCACGCCTCGCATGAGCAGCCCCAGTGGAAGCGTCCCCTGGCAGCCGCAGCAGCAGAAAACGGCCGCTTATTGTGGGGTCTGGCTGGGGGAAACGAGGCGGCGCGGGAAAATGCGTTGGGTGGCCCCCCAAAAAATGCGGGCCGCTGCGGAGAAGCGCGGCCGTCACTCCTCCTCCTCCTCCCACCCACACAGACACACGGCACTGCGAGCAGGTGTGGGTTATAACAGTCAAAGGGAGGGCACAACGTGCGAAGGCGCACAGCCCGAAGCATCGGCCGTACCCCACCCCCTCCCGCGAAACAGGAGTAGCCCCCAGCAGAACCGTTTCCCACTGAGGCGCAGCATCCAGTCAAGCACGAAACCAGCAAGAACGAAGAGGTGAGGGAGCAGTCGATGCCTTCAGCCTCTCGCACAGGCGTGAAAAAAAAAAAAAATCCCCTCGACACCAGACTATCTACCACGCACAGCGAACCCAACGCAGCAACAGACGGCTACACGCCCCCGTTTTCTCCATGGCGTGTGGGTGGCTGTGAAAAGGTGGAGGCGCGGCCGGCATCTTGCGGCGTCCCTCAAAAAACCTAATCTTTTCCCGGCCCTCCCTTGGCGACTCCCCCGCGCATACGCAAAGTAATACAACAGAGAACAAGACGATCCACAGCACACTCACCACACGCTGCAAACCACAATGCACGACCCGAGCATTCCTTCAGAACGCTCCAAAAAAAAAAAAAAAGATATCACAACAAACATAAAAACACACCCCGTAAAGTGAAGCCGAAGCCTGGGCACGTCCACCCAGAAGTGGGACGACCAGCACACACACATGCTCTCCTCCTTCCCTTTGAGCACAGTCCAGAAAGAAAGAGAGAGGTCGCCCACCAAAAACAAACAGAAAAACAATATAAAACAAAAAAAACAGTTCCGTGCATTTCGCAGGAATGGTGGTAGTACAAAGCGGGAGTTGCAGTTGCGTTACAAAAAGAGCGCCGAGGCGCAGTTAATGTGTGTGGGTACGTTGCATTATAACCGTGTTATACATCTTGAATGCGTGGCTCCACAGTCCACAGATACACATATACACATATATGCACATTATTGCCCCACCGCACATTTTTTTTTTCGCCCAGCCGCTGATGCTGCTGCTCAAAGAGGCGCCATCGCCACAGCGACGGCCACGGCGAGAACCGCAAGGGAACTGAGACCAACAGCAACAACTGAAGTGTCACCGAGTCCGGATTGCTTCCCTCCGCGATTCCCGTTTCCTCCAACGCTGCTTTTCCCATACGGGTTCGGAGTAAC